TTTCCGCTGTGGTCGACCGGGGCATGTGGCGGTGGAATGCTCTGCCGCTCCTCACTGCCCGGTGTGTGCGGCGGGTAACAAGCCCGCCAATCACCAGATGGGGCAGGGGGGCTGCAAGCCTCAACTGCAACTCTCAGCAAGCATCGGGGGCTAGCCCAGCTTCCTGCGAGAGTGGTTGAGGGCCTTTTCCCACAACGGGCGGAACACACTCCCCCGTCGATGTCCTCCCTGGCCGGAGACGACGGGGAGCACGGGGAGGATAATGTTCCGCCCGTCCGGGAATCGGAGGTAGGGGCGGCTGTTCTACGGATCCGTTCCAAGAACACCGCCCCTGTAGTAAGTAGTAAGTATTTATAATTCAATATCTAATAAAAATAACTTCACTTCCATCCCAAACTAAGCAAAACCTGTGCTACGGTAGCTAGAATGCTGTTAAGCATGCTTAAATATTTCCAAATATATGCACATAACGGATAAATTTTACACCCAGTGTATAAGAGTTTATTAATAAATAAAACCATAGCACAAAAGTCAACACACTTTGTTATTGTATGTAGTTAAAGGTAAGAATATTGTATCAAACAATGTAAATGTAGTTCCGCTTTTCTCACAGAGATGGCCTTGTGCCGTCCCGCTGAATCGCGGTATTAAGAGTCTCCGTGAAATAATGACTTCAGTTGTAAATTTATGTTGTTTGTTCGCCAATATACGCATTGAAATAGTAGTCGGTAGTATTATTTCTCCCTACTATTTCCAAATCGCTTTGGGCCTGTACTGAGTACATTGTATACCCAGACACAACAAAAGGTTGTACTCATCATCAACAGCCTTTAACAGTCCACTGCTGGACATAAGCCTCTCCTTAGAAAGGAGGTTCTGGCCTACTATGCCACGCTGGCCAGACGGGTCGGTATAGGGTTTGTGTAAAATTTTCCTTCTGTCTGCAGTGTTGATGTTCTGCTTAGTTTTTTCCTTTTGTCGGCTCTTACGATACCCACGGGATGAACAGGGGTGGTGACACTCTTTATTCTAAATCCGTCACCACACGGACAAGATTGTACTCATAACACAAATATTTGTCCTGGGTGGGAATCAAACCCACGACCTCCCTCTTAGCAACCCCAAACGGACCAACATGCCCATCAAATTGAACTTATCATGTCTACTACACCTTGCTATAAAAGAGGAAATGTTCAGAACAATTTTTTAAAACGTACAATCTCAATCATCACGGTCAACATCATCAATAAATTTCCCACAATTAATTCTCGTGTGAAGTGTGAGAAAATTCTTTAATGAGGTAAATTAGCGGTGTATATAACGTGCTATGATGACTAATTTGTTAATAATCTACTCGCGTCCGCTCCCAATTTATGCAAATATTTGAAAATTGTATATTTCAGCATAACAAAGATCTATCACTAAATAAAGACTGCGATTTCCCAACGCCGTTTTCGTATTTAATCGTGATATTATTGAATCGATCTAAGTGGCGTGCAATGGGAGAGGCCTATGTCCAGCAGTGGACTGCGATAATGATGATGATATTATTATTGAATTAATGATCGTGTTTACAGTAACAGTAAATGTTAATAATTTAAATTATACTATTTTTTATATATTAAACTGATGGCCGTGAGCCACAAGAAGAGGAGTTGTCTGAAACTTATCTTACAATTCTAATTATGAATCTAAAAATAATAATAAGGCCATGCCATGATATTTTATATAGACTTAGAACGAGGATTATAGGATTATAACCAATTTACATCCATCGTAGGCCAATCATTCAACTAAGCTATTTGAGGCCTGCTTAGTCACATCAAAATACGCTGGCATATAATTAAAAAAAAAAACACAAAGGTTGTTAAGGTTCGTAATCTGGCCCGAAGCTGATGGTTTTTTGTAATTTGATTTAACGTTCGTACGTCATAGAAAAATTCTGTAACTGATATTCTTAATTCAATCGAAAACTCTTATTTTACTTGATCAATGTCACTACCATAAACTAAAATGTATAGAAGACAAAACGAAAGGAGTTCTAAGAACAATTGAGAAACAGCGAAAGTATTGTTTGCATATGTTACGTTCAACGATTGCAAAACTATACAAGAACTGTTATACATACTTATCCAATCTATACTATCAATTATATTACTGGGTCTCTTTCCTAATTGTGTAACAACCTGACACCCTCGCTTTAAGTACGTTAGGGTTCAGACCCGGCGGCGGTCAAGTGAGAATGTTAGTGGGTCAAAGTGGAACATAACGTTTTGTTCGCAGATGTCGATGTTACAATAGAACCGTAGGCTGAATGTAATAGCTTTTTAATACTGATTACGTCACACATTATTCGTATTTAGGTTGGTTCATTGAAAAACATACTTTGATTTTATGATGCTTGTTTAACACTGCACTGACTCTGCTCTGCTCTGCTCTGGCTCTGACTCTGCTCTGCTGCTCTGACTGCACGGATGGCGTAGTGGTTTAAGCGGTCGCCACACCGCTTCCTACTACGCCGAGTGTTGTGGGTTCAAACCCCACATGGGACGACACTTTGTGTGATCCACAAATTGTTGTTCTGAGTCTGGGTGTTCTTTGTGTCCGTTTCATGTATGTTTGTAAAGTCCCCCGTGACACAGGATTATTCCTAATGCGGGAGTTGTCTTTAAAAAAAATAAAAAAAATAAATAAATAATAATATTTAGTTACAGCAGTTCTATTTTTAATTGAAGCTTGTATTTTATCTATGTATATCAATCTCTTTACCATTACCAATATGAATTTCTCAAGAAAGAAGGTTGGTAGGATCAACTGGAGTGATACCACGGCCTAATAGAAAACCGATGTAAAGCAGTTCTAACATTTCACAGAATGACTGAGGTTACCAGAACCCAAACTGTAACGTACTTAGACTAAGACTTTATTAGGTAAATTGTACTGAAATCATAGTTCGCAATATGTGGACTTTTACTACGCCTCTTCTTACCCCTTATGGGATAGTCGTGACCATTTTTAAATAATTAAAACAATAATTTAGTCTTATTCCATCGTAAGAATTAATATGACTTCAGCATCTAGCAGAGGTCAAGGTCATTTAATAATGACCTTGACCTTTTAATGAAACTTTTTATCTATTACCTAACCCTTCGTGTATTTGGACTGAATGAGAACTGTTAGAGGCTTAAGTTTTATTGATGATCATCACTCGAGTTTCGATCATAAATTTATGAAGTTTTATTTTCTTGGCGCATTGACCAGTTAAAACTGGATCTGTCATTCCTTACCATGACAGATAAACATATATACAGGACTGTAGTTTTATAAAGTCGTTTGTACACGTTTTTTTATGTAAGTTTTTTTTTCCTGAAATTTTTGTAAATAAAAACGTGTATATAAAAATACGTAAATTTCACGAACCGAGGTTTTTTTTAATGTAACAACATGTATATATTCCTTCCTGGATATGGCAGATGTTTACTTAAAGGCTTTTCGTCCATCGCCCTTGAAGCTAGTGTTCATAGACACCCACGAAGATCGTTATTGAAATATTCGTAACATACAATGTACAGTAACATACAATCAAGGTCAATCGTAATTTATCATTTTATAGTGATGTAATTGATTGTAATGATGCATAAGTATGAATAATTGGTTGTGTTGTTGGTATAATACGCAATACGCATTTTTATTTTCGACAATAATTGAAATCTGTTTCAACTATGAGAGGCATGCAAGGACAACATAGAAAGAAAATGCGTGTGCCAAACTTGAACCGAAATTAAAGACCATAACAAGCATAGCCATGTTTCGGCATATACGGCAGCCTTTACCGGAGTGAGCCGCACGGAAAACCGATGTTAAACAATGCACCGAGTGAGTGAGGTAACGAGTGAGCGTCTCTTGCAGGTGTCCATGAGCGTCGGTACTCACTTACCATCAGGTACTCCTCCATACCATAAAAAAGTCACTCTATTTAGTAACCAAATAAAGATGTCTAATATTCATACTAATATTATTAAACGTTGTTTCAAATTAGTTAACAATTAGATGGCACAACTTTTTGCGAGATTTTCTTTTTACTTGAAGTGTTTTTAGTTGGATCTAATTTCTTTTTGTGGACTTAGACTGAAGTTATGGTTTGTTTGAGTTTTTCTATGAGTAGAAGATGTTACGGTCGTGACTTTATTTTTGCTCAACTTGACGGCGGCAGTCTTACTCTGACCAATCGAATTTTGCTTCGAAAGCTTTAAAAATAATACTAATAGTCTATTACTTTTGCCTGTGTTTTGTAATAAAGAATAAAGTAAATAAATATAATAGTAAGTAAAGAAAATAATCAAATATCGTATTACGATACAAATTGAAAATATCATGATCAATAAAAATATTTATTTTAAAAGTAAGCAACAATAAACTTGTAACGGTACGATATACAACAAATAACTTAAATACTACATTTTTACATTAGACACGGTACACATCACATTTAAACACTAACATTTACAAGCAATCTGCATACCAATTTCTTCGACTTTCTTTTTAAATTTAATAATATTTTTTTATGATTCGTTTTACCAGATAACTGTCATGAAACTTCAGTACAATATTCAGAGACACAGTCGTTTATTCAAGAACCTTGAACATTCCTTAGAACTATGTTCTATGAAACTATACACACTGCTGTTGTCAGAAAATGTTTCTGTAGCACTTGATGAACAATTTCATTTAAAGATACTTAGCAAGTGCGAAAACTCCTGATATCTATTGGATTGGTGGGTTTGAGAAAGATAACTCTGAATTCAGTATCCATGCAATTATTTTGCAATTATCTACTCGTCAATATAACAGATGGCATCATATTGATTATAATCATCACTAATATACGTATACAGGCTTTTGTTTAAAAAAAATCATACAACACATAAACCATTCACAAACACGTACACACACAACTTCCACTTTTTCTAATTAATTAACACTCAATATCTACTTAATTATTATTGCCTGTGATAACCTGGGGGGGGAAGATAACTCATACCAGAAAAATGCCCTGCACTTCCGCCATGTGAGGCAGATGAGACAAAACCAGACGGCGTTCTAAATCTGTAATTTCCGCTGGAAAAACCTGACCCTTGTCCTAAAGCGGACTGATAATTCATAGCTCCGTGACTCTCAGAATACTGATGACCTAAGTTATCTTCATTACCTGAAGACGACTGATAGCCTAAGCTAGCTTCATTACGTGTATACTGGTGGCCTAAACTACTTTCAAGACCTGATGATGATTGATGTCCTAAACTAGGTGCAAAACCTGATGAAGATCCGTACCCCGAATCAAACCCTTGACCTGAAGATGAGGAAGCTGAGGAAGATTCGTATTGGCTAGACGGTGAATAGTAAGATGAGCTGGCACTTGATTGGGATGATGATTCTTGATGACCTAAATTGGATTCCTGTGTTGCGGCTTGACCAAAGTAGGCTGAGTTGGCACCAGAATTACCTGAAGAATGGAATTCCAAAGATTGATGTCCACTTTCGATTTGTTGATGTTCATGATGTTTCGGCTCTTGATGTTCATGATATTTTCCTGGAAATTAGAAAATAAATAAGGACATTTAAAAATAAAAAATAAAAATAACTATCGTTCCGTTACAAGTATTTGTTTTAATATCAAAATTGATCATTCTCATACCCTAGCTGTGATAAATAGAAATACTAAAAAAATAATACAAACGAGATCCAAAAAAGTACTAAAATGAAAAAATCATCTAAAAATTAAGATAGAGTATATGTCTTTTAATGTCTTACCATCATCAAAAATACCAGCAGCTTCATCCTTAGCGTTCTTCTCTAAACTCTTCAGGATAGCCTCAGGAATGGGTGGAGAGGTCGGTAAGTGATCACCTGATGGCCTAAAACCATTCTCATCGGCGGTATAGGTGATGGTGTATTCATGGCCGTCATCGCCTTTGAAGGAGAAAGCACCGTGAGCTGAAGTTCCTTTTTCTATTTTACCTTCTTCTTGAACTCTTATTCCTGAAAATTGTCATACGTGAATATATTATAGTATGTCCAGCTATACGTCTATGTCCTGGTCGTTTTAATGTCTCACTGCTACCAGATTTTACATTTGCCAGTTTCCTGCGCCGGTCACCACGACTCCATTTTGGAAAGGCTCAAGTAACACCATAAGTATTGCAAGTGACTCGCCTATATCGCCGATCATCAGGCAGAAGTTGTATCATATACTAAGTACTATACCAACTATAAAAGAGTTCCTGAGTAATGATAGAAATTCAATTTTTTTTTTGTGTTGGAGGTGCAGACGAGCAGACGGGTCACCTGATGGAAGGTGACTATCGCCAGCCATGAACGTCTGCAACTCAGGAGTCACAAACGCATTGCCAGACTTTTAGGAAGGAGTACGCTCTTTTCTTGAAGGTTTGAAGGTCGTATCTGTCCGAAAATATATATATTTTTTTGTTATAATATGTTATATTATAACTAAAAAAGTTGTAATTAAACTAAATGTTGTGTTTATTGTTGTTATAAATTTTAAAAATGTGTAGTAATAAGAATACGTTGACAACCCTATACCCAAGCAGTACTTAAGCAACTGCGCTACTAATATTGATTGATTGAGTCTTGTCAGTTAAATCAATTCTTATCAGGCAACTAGTACTTATATAATATTTACATCACGTCATCACACACACATCAACAGCCTCTAATAGTCCACTGTTGGACACAGGCCTTTCCTAAGAAAGGAGGTTTTGGCCTACTATACCACGCTAGCCATACGGATTGGTATAGGGGTTGTTTCAAGTTTTGATTCTCTTTGCAGTGCTGTTTTATTGCATAGTTTGCACTTTTAGGGGGCTCTTGCGATACCCATAGGATGAATAGGGGTGGTTAATATAATATTTATATTTCCCTAATCAGACAGCTTACTTTGAAAAGGAATTGGCAGTGTCAGCAAAAAAGAATTACTTGAATGAAAAAAATACATGATGATTTGATTTGAATAAAATAAGTAATTGAGAAACGATATGTACATCTACGAGTCCTCAACAGTTCGAAAGAATTCCAATAGATGGCATTACTGCGTAGCTTAAAAAACAAAAGGGTAAAGATGCAGCGCCATCTGTTGCTAACACAAGATCAATGGCAATCGAATGCTTGAGATACTGTAACTGATGTTACATAGAACAAGTTAGATTGGAACAATTTATATCATGTTATGAAACCGTTTGCCGTAATATTAAATAATATTAAAAATGTAGGTCACACTGTACTAGTTTTTTACTAATCCATTCATGTAGTCTAAATACTTAACATCACATTATGTTAACATCGAAAGTGGACTTCAAAGTTTAAATTGTTTATACTAACAGTGAGTCAAACAAGCCCACAATATTATACTCATAAAAAATCAAATCTCATGTTGTGAGAAGCTTATGAAACTTTTTAAATCTAAAAGTGATAGAAATGAAGACTAGAGATTTGGAAACTACGACACGCTTAATAATTTTAATGACGTGTTATATTCAAGCTATACATTGTTCAAAAAATATTTTCTATTCTACTAAATTCTCTTAACTCATCCTTTTGTGAAATTGAAAGGAAAATCTTAAGGGGCCAAATATTCGCTCTTTTTAAATGTTTACCTTTCTGAGTAATTTTCCTGCTGCAGAAATAAAATCAAGGTCGGTAATTGTTCTAAAATACTCAATTATTTGAATTAAGCACATGGCATAATTACATATTTTTTTTATGTTAGGTCACCTGATGGAAAGTGAGCGTCACCGCCCATGAATGATAGAGAAATAGATAGATAGAGAATAAAGATTAGATATTTTTTTTAAGGATTTTTATGTTGCTAACAATAATGCAAAAGAGCAAAAAATCACCCGTAAACTTAGTAAGTTCTCGTAAGTAAGTAAGTATTCAGTAAGTTCACACTTCAATATTTAAAAGAGAAATACACAGTTTATGGATCATCATCTACAGTCTTTTTCGTAGCTTTGTGTCTAAATAAGTACAATTTTCGTTTCACTTTAAAGTTCATCAAATTGTCTGTTGACTTATTCAGATGACGATATGTCATGATTCTTTTTGATTGACTGGAACAAATCCTTTGATTTTTTTTCTTACTTTTAATGTGTTTATTTGAGTATACGTATTTTTTAACTAAGTATATTTGTCTATTCGAAGGACAAAATAGTTGGCACTGAATAGGATTCCATAATTTGCCCTATTAAGTGAACCTATCTCATTCTTCCTCTACATCTGCCCAATCGGTCGACTGGCAGAGAATAACATATATATCTCACATTCCACACACGGCCGTCTGATCCCAAACTAGACTGCTGATAAACATAGTTATATTTTTTTAAATAAATACACATTATAGATAAATTACATCCAGACACAGAACAAATGACCATGTTCATCACACAATATTTATCTTAGGTGGGAATCGAACCCATGACCTCCGATTTAGCAGTCAGGGTCACTAACCACAAGACCAACAGGCCCGTCCAACATTTAATATTTGTGCATGAAGTCATAAATAAAATAAGAAGAAATAGAGTAGTAGCTTACCATTATCAGTCTCATAGGCGTAACGATAGTGGTGTCCCTCGTTCTCAGCATGGTATGACAAGGTCTTAGCTGTTTTCTTTCCATCGGGTCTAGTATTGGCTACTTCGTGTCCCGAATATTGATTTGATTGGCTAGAATACAACCCACTTTGTTGATGCTCGAGCCCTGATTGGTAAGTTTCCGCTGAATTCACATACTTCTCTATTGATGGGTTATTAAATATCCGACCAGATACGGCCAGAATTAGGGCGAAAATTACAGTCAACTGAAAATATACAAAAAAAAAGAAATCATTATTGACTTCAAAACCGTACATAATATGTTCGTAAACCTTATGTTTATTTTATGCTATTTGGAAATAATTAAGGCTGATCTGACCCTGGAATTTTATAAAGATCATCATCATCATTATCAACAGCCTTTATTAGTCTACTGCTGGACATAGGCGTCTCCTTAGCAGGGATGTGTTTTCCCCTGGGAAAGGGGTTGATTAGGCATGGTGTCAATTCGGGAAGGACCTGAAATAACATGGTCCGGATCCTCCCAGAGTAGGGCTGGAGGCCGGCCATCGGGGTGGTTTTTAGTGGAATCACCACATACTCCTGACTTCTGAGTCCCCGAGGAGCAGGAGATCCGAGGAGGTTCTCAACATCGTCAAAAAAAAGGCCTCTCCTTATCCACATCACACATCACACATCCACATCACTTCCCATTAATAAATTTCACCACTAATTTAAAACAACACGGCACTTCCTACTGTTACATTCGAATCACTTCAAAACCACTAAACTTAACAGTAAAATTAGGTTATCAAATCCCTTTTGAAAATCATTTTTCTATAAACCAAGCTTCTTATAACAAAGAGCTACATTATAATCTCCAAATTAGGATAAATTTATTTTCAAGTAGGTAGTAAGAATAAATTGCTTAATTAGCATATTTAAATCAGAAACGTACCAATTTCATGTTTGTAAATTATAAACAGGTCTAGTTAAAGCACTCAATGCAGAATGAGTTAAATAATTTCTCCGTAGCTTTATATAGCCAAAAATTTCCTGTACGCACAGGTGTATGAAGTCACACGTGCGATGGCAGGAACGTTGAAGAGTTCGAACTTAAGTAAAATTTTGTATAATAAATAAATGAAATTGAAGTGTATGTTTTTTATGTTAGGTTTTTTCATGCACACACGGTTATTTGCACGATACCAATGCCTAAAAACCAGTTTAAATATATTTTGTTTGTGTATCTGTCTGTTTTGTTCTGGGTAATCTTCAAAACGGCTAGACCGATTTTGTTAATATTTTACTACCAGGTAGCTGTCTATATAAAAAGTAACTTAGTCAATTTTTTCTCTCAGAAAAACCCTACAAAAATTTTGCCCGATCCGCGAATCGAACCCATTAAGGCTTTTCAACTTCCACGCGAACGAAGTCGCTGGCTCCCGCTAGTATTTTAATAAAATTAGTGAAAGTTAGCATTTTAAATGCAACTAAATACTTTTTACTTGCCATACTCAGGTTGTATCACCAAAATTTAAGTTGAAATCAACAGAAAATTCTTACATCTACATTTCCTCATTGTAATCAGAAAATAATAACTTTTAGTCATTTTTTCTATATATTTCACAAATAAATCATCATGGGCAATAAACTAATTCAAAAGATGCAGAATCATGGCATTTAGAGAGAAACACGGTCTCTAGAAAAATTCAGAAGTCGGTAGTAACAATATACTCTTTTTTCTCACAAATATATTTTTTTTTATTTTTAAAATTGTATGAATTAATGAAATTTACGAAGAATATTAAAAAAATATATATGAAAGTTTAATGTGTCAAATGGAAAAACAGGAAAAATCCTCGAAATTTTAACATAGGTGTAGATTTGTATTTGGGAGATGTTTAGAACTCTCCCGGCCCGCCAGGCCCGGGAACGGCCGGCTTTAGTCGGCGGTTTTAGTCGGTTCGTGTCCGACATGCCACCGATAGGTGGTATCCGAGGGGACGGAAAAAAAAAAAAAAGAGGTGTAGGTTTGTACAATCTTCTCGGTGCGTGAATCAGACTCGCTCATGTTCGATTTCTTTATCATAAAAAGGTTATTAATGACCTCCAAAAATAGAATTGTATCACGTAGTAATCATATTGCATAATATACTAATGGATCACTAAACAATTCAATCAGTTATTTTAGAGCTTAATACAAAGGATGGCCAAATTTTATGCAATGTTTTTCCGGTCAGATTAATAATATAAATGACGAGGTGGCAATTTGCAAATAATAAAATAATAATTAAAAAAAGCAAATTGATAATTTGCAAAAAAACTCGTAAGTTATAAATACCATGGTAAGTAGGTATGAGATAATATATTCAGTAGTAGGTGGTTATAATATAATTAACCACAAGATTGTTTAAATTGACAAAACCTATCCAAATTACATGTACAACCAGCACTTATAAAGTTATAACTATTGATCTCCAGATGTCGATGAAAGGCGGCGATATTCACTTACTATTAGGTGGTTCACCTGCTCGTTGGACAATATTAATAACAATAATAAAAAAACGGTTGTTTCTAAATTACTGTTGTTTTCATTGAATTAAACATATAGTCTTAAGTTCACGTGTTTAGTGGTCAGTGCACGAGATTCAAGTGCGAGAGCATTGTTAGGTAATAGTAAGTAACGAGATGCGCGCCGCGGGTGCACAAGTAGAGCGGATGCCACAGGCCTATTTACAATATAGACAGAGCAACCATTTTTTCAACTTAATTATATTATTCCAAAAAATTGATGACAATCATCAATTTTTTGGAATAATATAATTAAGTTGAAAAAAATTTCTTCAAGATAAGATTCTACAAACATCGTGACCCAAGAATGAACCTATTTTAAATGTAACAAACATGGAATTAAGTATTATCAATTTTGAACTTAAAATAGAAATAATGTGGCAAAATCTACTGAGACTATGTCATAACTTTTTTACGCAGTATAACCTTAAATAGTACCTTCTACATCTTCAATAGTATTAGTGAAGACAACAGTATACATAAATTATTACTAGGTACTACAAAAGTATCCGTGTGGTGACGGTTTAAGAAAACAGAGTTTCACCACCATTTTCATTCCGTGGGTGTCATAAGACTAAAAAAAAACTGCGCAAGACAACCACACTGCAGAGAAGAGAAAAACCTGAAGCAAAACCTATCCCAATCCGTCTCGACCGTCGTCTCCCGTCCAGCGTGGTATAGGAGGCCCAAACTTCCTTTCTAAGACGAGGCCTATGTCTAGCAGTGGACTATTATAAGCTGTTTATGATAATGACTAATACAGTAACTAGTTTTGTCATCTATAAACAAGTATAGTACAATATTAACACAGTGTAAATTTTATTCCTCTCGTGTTACCCATTTTCCGAAGAAATATGATCGTGATGATGACTTCCTTTTTAATCATAGCTCATCATTCTAAATTCATATTTTTTTTTAGCATTTTTTAAATTACATAGCTATATCCCAATTTCGAAATCGGTTATAATTTTTTTATGAAATTGAATTATTCGGTTCTCAAATTGTACCTATGCATTAAGTTCACGTCTTCTCTATACTTTCTTTAGACTATGTCTAACAAGTAACTAATTTACTAGTGTCCAAACACTCGATATTTGTATCGGTTAATAACTTGATACAATTGTATCGAATTATGTAATAAGTGTAACATAGTTCCAATACTATGTCAGGGACGATTTCGTATTGATCTTACCCTTATGTAATCCATGTTGATTAATCAATGATTAATAACTATTCAACTATTACTTGTAGTTATATGCGATTATGTTTTAGCTTCAGGCTGAAAGGGTTGCAAGTGGGTTACGTACAGATATCGCTATTGTATATTCTGCAGAACATTCAACGTCATATCCCTTTGTTTTTTTTTTCTCTGTGGAAATCCCCTCGTATACCACCCGCCGGTGGCTATGTCGGACTCGAACCGAATAAAAGCCGCACGCCGTCTCGGGTACTTACAACATAAAAGCATCGGCTGTTAAAATATCAATTTTGTTGCCTTAGCAGTTTAGGCTCAGCGTTGATGAATCAGTCAGACAGGTGAAGTAATTTAAAATGTCATCATCATCATCAGCCTATCGCAGTCCACTGCTGGACATAGGCCTCTCCCATTGCACGATACTTACATCGATTTTGGGCTTCTCGCATCCAGCTCCTGCCAGCCATCTTGCGCAAATCATCACTCCACCTGGCCTGTGGTCGTCCTATTTTATATGTATGGATTATAAATTCAGTCAAATTTAGGAATTATTGATCTTAATTTCATTAATTTCTTATTTCTAACAATTTCTGTAAAAAACCTATCATTAGTGACTCCTATTAACTGGATCACCTACTTCAAATTTGATTATTGTACAAGTTTTTTTTTTTTTATATTGTATAAAGTTGGAAAATTCGCCAGTGGTATTCTACCATAACCCGAGGATTCTTCGCACCCTCCGCCGCCTTGTCACCGAAGCCCTTACCGTTGCCAGGAATAGTGCGTCTACCGGGAAGTGGAAGTCGTGGAAAGTGGTTGCAATTCAAAGAGAGGGAGGGAATTTACCACTGACAGGCTGGTAACCGCAGTGGTGAGAATCATTTATCTGGTGACCTGTGGTGCTGCTGCCCATCATTAATATCGATATTTAGTAATTCTCGCAGTGGTGTGGTTTTATCGCCACAAGTCGGAGCTTTGTAAGTTGTTCGACAGGGTGCAACGCGTTTGGATGAGATTGACGTTACAAGGCCTAAGTTGGTAGGTAGCCCGTTAACAACCCTCTACAACTTATCAACTAAGATTTACAACTACTATAAATCGATATTAGCGAAATCCGTATAAACATCGCTTCCTCTATAGTTGTAAAAGTTGATGTTTAATATGGTTCTGATTTCCTACCCTTCTTGAATATTGACGAGAACGAGTTTATGGCATAATTATTTGAATGTGGTATTATTTTAGATTCGATTTGCTTTCTATACAAAGCACTAACTTCACGAACTTTGAACTTATTTCTGCTATTACTTTTGAACACCTCTATTATAGTAATAACCAGGTCTCATTGCTTTATATAGGCCATAGTTGTATTGATTGCTTGCTAGACTACTTTCTACACGGATAGAAATTACATGTCATATAATTAAACTAGATTTAATGTTCATTTTGTAATCTTAAGTATTTACATTTGATTACGACAATTAGCGTTTATTAGTAGAGATATAAGTTCAAATTATGTGAGCCATTCGTTGACCCATACTTAAATTACGATGGCTTTGTTTGATAAGTATTGAAATTATGTTAAAGTGAGATAGAACGTTTTTTTGTTGGTATCTAGTATTGAGGTTAATAATTTACGACTTGGACAGTGATTAACAGCTGTTTTAATCATATGGACGTATTTACGGATGTACAAAATAAAATAAAAATATCGGAATGATTACTTATTATTTACTTAATTTAGTAGTTAAATTTCCATAATCATTTACAAAGATTTCCAAAAAAATTCTAAATTCTGCAAAATCTGGCCAAATAAATTATGTTTCTCACATTAGATTGTCTAAGAATCGGTTCTTTCAATAACTAAATAAAAAAAAAACACTGGCACTGGAAAACTTGAAAATTTAAAGAACTGTGTTCAGAAGAACGAAGACATTAACGCCACCTCCGGCCTGGGGCCATCAGAGTTTCATCAATAACCATATAAAATTAACAAAACAAACTATACTAAATCAGATTTGTTAGTGTGTGAGTGTGTTGTGTGTAAATGAGTTATGTTTGAGTGTGTTTTGTGTGTGTGTGTGTATGTGTTATGTATGTTGTGTGCGGGTGTGTGTTTTACGAACTTTTGGTACCAATGATCTAATTTGCTCCTTCCAGGTCAACATGCTATCCACGTAAACCCCAAGGTATTTTGATAA